CATTCGTTCTGCACGCAGTTCTTGATATTCTAATCCAGATTCCTTCCCCAAGTGTGATTCCTTATAAACTTCTTAGGCACATTAAAGATAAAGTTGAGTTCTGGTCATGCGATTGCATTGTGTAAGAAAAGATGTGGAATGGATCAGAAAAAGGTGATCATGTAGCATGCAAGTATTGGTGTGTACTGCAAGGTTCTGGAGTCATCAAAATCATAATAAATTTGGCCCAGTCTTGGTAAATTACAAGCACTGTACACAAAAAGATGTATATGGGACTACACAAAAGGTGTCGTGGCTACCAACCTTGATTTCATTATCTTTCTATGCTCATTAGCCAGTATACATTTTCTACCAAAATTGTTTGGCAAATGACATTTATTTGTAATTTTGAACATTCAGTGTAAGTTTCGTTTGATTCTGTGAGAATTCAATGTCTTTTCTTTTTTACTAGAACTCAAGTTTATCTTTAATCTCTTTCATAAAGTCAAGGTCTGCTAATTCTACGTTTTCCGAAATCAAGCATGCGTACCCGTCCAGGCGTCATTTGTCAGTTTCTGGTCCGTTTTAAGGCCTCTCCACTCTCCTAGATGCTAACGACTTCTAATAAGTTCCTTTAGATATATGTTTTTTTCACCAGCGATGCATAAACTGGCCTTCACAATGCCATCTTCAAACTTTAAATTCAAATCCAAAATCTATTTCGTCAAAAATTGCTAAAATTCTTTTAAAATTTACCCCATGAAACCAAAAGCTGCCATAACTTTCTATAGTTTATTTTTATTTGTCTCGAAGTTTTATAGTATTTTAATCTTGTCATTACACACACCCTGCCGAATTTCACGCACCAATGGTCATTGCATGACAAAGCGATTTGATCATAGATAGTTTGTCCTTCGAAAGAGGAATAGAGGGACAACAAAAATTGTGATCTCTGACATGTCATAGGTTCGCATTGGATGCATTATAAAGAGCTTTGTCTAATTTGAACGACGATTTTGGAGGGTCAATGTTTATTCATGAGCAATGACGTCACAAATTTGCCAATTGTTGTTTGGTGATAAGCTATTAACAAACTGTTTTATGTATTAGGTCATGCATACAATATTTTTTAACTCCCAATTTTCCTACGATATGTCCACAAGGATCTGAAAAATGGCGAGTGTATGGTCTGTGGAACTTTTTAGCTATTCAAACACGAAAGATGAAACATTTGTTCTTTCAAGTGATTTTCTCTTCTAAAAGAAGTTTGTCAAGTCATATGATTTCATATGATATAAAGAAAAGTAAGTAAAGGTCCATTTTGTGTCATGATCTCTGTAATGAGTGTGATGTTTTTGTCGTGGAAGTCAGTGGGCTCGATGCATTGTCACAAAGTAATACCCTCTATCCCACCCCCTTTTCTTTTATCTGACCTAACGAATTTAATTGATTAAATAAACGTTAAATTATCTAGAAACTATCAGAAGTTTACCGTATAATATTTCAGTTCGACACCTCTCATACTTTTAAACTTTCAGTTCGTACCATGATTATTGACAACAATGAGTGGTAGATGTAGAACTGTTACAAAGATTGTACAAATGTCTCATTGCGATTCCAAGCCGGGATCTTTTTAAGCGGATTATGATTTTTATTTTGCCGATGCTAGCTAGCCGGCTGTATTAAACAACATACAAGAAGTGACTGCGTTTCCTGAGCTGGCGCGGCTATAACTTACCTAGCCTACACTTCAGTGTTAGATCTAGACTAAAGACTATATAGACAAGTTCCAACAGTCTTAAGTGTATGCTGAATCTGGACCTAGATTACTTTGACTCTGAAACTATGAAACTATTTACTTGACTTTAACCAATTGATGCTCTAGGACTATGCCTGTTCATCGATCGTAGGTGTCTTCTTGTCTCATGAGTGGTTTACTCTAAACTGCATTCATCCCCGCATCCATTACAGAATACTATACCTTTGACTTTGCTTTGCGAATGTACTTATACAAAGCAAAGTTCAAGTTACGATGAGGAGATAAATGATGTCTAGACAGCATTTATCCACGTATTTATGAACGAATCCTGTTCCTTGAACTTAGTTATGTATGTGTATGTAGTATTTTTGTTTTAATTAAATGATTTAGGAGGATCAACATGGAATTTCAATGAGGAATTCGAAGTTAACAAAGGTAGATTTTTACCTGCGATCCTTTTTTCGCACGTGACATTGCCAGTGGCATAGACCTTCAAATGGGCAATTATGACTTGGTGTTGAAGCATAGTGATCCAGGTCCTGATTCAGCGTAGTTCGGATAAAGCTAGACTAGATCTACCTCCCCCCCCATAAAAAGGAGTCTCTTCCTAACTTCCCCAATCCTAACCCCCTCCCCCCCCCCCCTGATTGTGCTCTTATGGTACAGTGCCTTGTTTGAAATGTTAAGGAAAAAATATTTAGACAAATTATGTATTCTTGAATTTGTATATTACTAATGTTTAAATATTTCCTTTGTTTATAGTGATTTTTCAGGATTATTCAACCCCCTTTTTTCGTGGTTGTTTTTTGAGAATTCTGTCTCCAACCCTTAATATCAAATGGATATTTATTTCTAACTCTAAAGGACATGAAAATACATAGAAACTGCTAACCTGTACATGCATTTTATCCTAGCATGATAATCAGATGTTATTGTGTAGATCTAATATTAAAGGTATAGATCAGTTCTGGTCATAATAATAAGAATAATAGCTCGTTCTTACATAGCCTTTTAGGGCCGGAGGCCCTCTCAAAGCGCTTTACAGAAAAGTATATTATTAACCCGGTCATTGGATTCAGGCTTACCCGCACACAATGTATGCACATTCTCGTTGTGGAATCGATCAGAAAAGGTTGATCATCTAGCATATAAGTATTGGTGTGTGCTGCAATGTTCTGGAATCATAAAAATGATAAGAAATTTGGCCCAGTCTTGGTAAAGTTACAAGCACTGTACACATAAAAATGTATATGGAACTACGCGATATCTACCCCGTCCGGATAGATATAATAATTTACCAAATATATCAATAAGTAGGCGGTTTCCCGGCAAAACTTGTATCATCATGTTTTAGTAAAAACATATTCTTTCACACAATTAGTAATAAGAGCTTCAATTTCATTTTTTGACAGGGGGGAAGGGGGGCTTTCCAAAACTGGTCTATACCTTTAAGGTACAGGACGCATGGGTTGCGAACATTGCAAACATTGCACTCATCTTGGACTTTATACATTTGTGTTTCGTACTGTGGGGAAAGGGGGGTTACAGCCCTCTTTACTAGAAGTCTGATATCACCAATATTTCGAGGGAACTGTCATCTTATGTTGCTATGTATCTTGTAAAGCTTTTGGAAATGAATGTGAACCCAAACTATACACTTTAAAACAGGACCTATCACGTGGACATAGGTCTATAATTTGTCAATAAAACTAATACGTAAGACATAATAGTTAGGAGGTACTATTTTTTTTAAAATTCTAATGATTGGATCGAGTTTAAATCTTAATTTCGTGCTTCTCTCCTTGTTTTTTTTTTTGGCAGGTTGTCCCAGGAGGTTAGTTTACCAAGCTTCGTTCAGGTTAGGATATCAAGGATCCTGAAAGTATTATTATTTTTTTTGTAATGACAAATATATTAGGGATGGATATTAAATTGAAGGGGAAAATGTAATGATGTCGGAGTCAAAACAATAATGACAATATTTATAATATTGATAATAATTAAAACGATAATGATAATGATAAACAACAACACCAATAGTTCCTTATATAGAAAAAAAATACTCATACAAATCACTATACACCTGTGCTTTACATAGTAAAATAGCATGTTGATAATTGATTTTATAATCTGAATTTTATTCTAAAATACTTAAATTTTGTAATTTATTGCGAAATCTCAAACCATAAAAATATGTGTTCAAGAGACAACAGCCCCTTCCCCATTCTGTTGCCTTCATTTTGCTGATGTAATATTATGTTATGCTGCATTTGAAAAGATCATTATTAAAATGTTATCCTCATAGATGAGTTTATAAATGTTAATAAAATTATTGCTCAATTGTTTTTCTTTCATTTTCTTATTTTGTGAAAGATATGTGACGATGGTGATTATGATGATGTAAGCACAAAATGTTTTACTCTTTAATGGCATAGCTGTGTGACTAGGGTGTGACGGTACTGATACAGTCTTTCGTGAGATTGAGGGAAGGCGGCAATAAGAGAGTTGGCAGGGCAAAAATAGAGTATGCAGTATAACAAATTCTTTACAGTGTGGAGGGGGATAGGGGAGGCAATGTTAAAAAACAAAATAAGTAAGCGAGTGCCAAACAGCATGGGCAACCATGGTGGTGGTGGGAGGGGGGTTATTAGGGCTATAAATGGACATTTCAGTATTTGAAGGGGGGTCTGGATCCAAATTTTACGGTTCGGAGGGGGGCACAATATGAACATTTTATGAATGATTTATCATTTGGGCACTGAAAATGGCACATGTTAAGTGGGCTAAATGATATGAGAAATCTGACTGATTAAAAAGAAGAAAAATACAAAATATGAATAAAACAAGGAACAAACAATTGAGAGGCCCAAAAAAGATTGAGGCAGACGGTGAAATCGGGTCATTATGTTTGCCATGGAAACACTGAAATTTCTTTATGTCATTTCCACTCTACTAACAGTGAAGTTTCTTGCCCCCATGTTTCCCATTTAAGCGTTTATTACCCCCCCCCCCCCCCACACACACACACTCTGACCTTTGCTCAACACTTTTAGCTCGGGACTGGCCCCAGGATCCGATCGATAGTAACGCATGCACATTGTTTTGTTTTGTTTTTTCATAGCGATATTATGCTAATAGGCCTAAGTGAAAAAGAGCCATGAATATGCAAATCTTTACTTAACATGTAAAAGATCTATATTTCGCTGGTGCACTACAAAGTTGTCGTCTTCATAGGCTAATACATGTTCACAGCACAAGAACTATGCGTGGAGCTAATTGCTTGACCGATCACCAGCTACTAAGATCAAAGATTGCATTTGCTTTACGTTCAAAGCGTAGGAAGCAAGGAGCTACTAAACTTGCAAAGCTGAACACAGACCGGCTACACGTCAACACACAACGGCTAAAGCTAGAGCAAGATATGGAGAAAGCTCTGGCGACTTGGGGAGTGCAAGAGGGAATGGCAGTTGATCAGACCTGGGCATCACTCAGCAAAGTAGTATATGACACAGCGAGCAACACCCTCGGTAAACCAGAGCGAAAACACCAGGACTGGTTTGACCCAGAAGACTCCGAGCTTCTGATACTCATGAAGAAAAGGAATGAAACACACCAACGTGTATTACAGACTAGAAGCACCAGGTCAACCACCACCGCATACAAGGAAGCCTGCAGACACTTGCAGAGGTACACACGGAAAATGAAAACCACCTGGTGGGAGAAAAAGGCAGAGGACCTGCAGCGCTCCGCAGACAATAATGACATGAAGTCCTTCTACACTGGACTGAAAGAAGTCTGGGGCCCCCAGACTAGGAGTACAGTTCATCTCAAGTCCCTGGACGGTAACACAACCTTTTCAGACAACAAAAGGGTGCTTGAACGATGGTCGCAGCATTTTGAGACACTACTCAACCAGCCAGGAGATATCGAGCCTGCAGCGCGTGATAGGATCAACCAGCGACCTGTAGTTACTGCACTCGATGATATTCCAACACGAAAAGAGCTAAACCTGGCAATTGCCTCCTTGGGTGATGGCAAGGCACCCGGAGTGGATGGGATACCAAGCGAGATATGGAAGCACGGAGGAGCCACACTAACCAACAGTTTACTAATGCTGATACAACAAGCATGGGCAGAAGGCTCCGTACCTCAGGAATGGAAGGATGCTAATATTGTCGCCATCTTCAAAAAAGGAGATAGAACTCAATGTGGAAACTACAGAGGAATATCGCTATTGTCAATAGCAGGGAAAGTTTTTGCCAGGATCCTTCTGAACAGATTGAATACCCACACCAGATATATTGCCGGAGACGCAATGCGGATTTAGGAACAACCGCAGCACAGTAGATATGATCTTCTGCCTCAGACAACTACAGGAGAAGTGCATTGAGCACAACCGATCCCTCTATGTGTTTTTTGTCGATTTCACGAAAGCCTTTGACACTGTTGGTAGGACAGGTCTTTGGGAACTACTACGAAAGTATGGATGTCCCGAGAAGTTCACCGGAATGGTAGAGTCCTTACATACGGGTATGATGGCTTAAGTCAAGGAAGCAGGCGAAACATCCCATAGCTTCCCTGTAAGTAACGGTGTAAAACAAGGATGTGTGTTGGCCCCTACGCTGTTCTCCATCTTTCTCTCGGCGATGCTGGAGGAGGCCTTTGCGGACTTTGAGGAAGGCGTTTACATACAATCACGTCAAGACGCCGACCTATTCAATGTCGCACACTTCAAAGCTAAGACGAAGTCTACACAGATTCTCGTGAGGGAACTCCTCTTTGCAGATGACAGTGCTCTTGTTTCTCATACACCAGAGCAGATGCAACATGTTATAGATGTATTTTCATCAGCATCAAAGAAGTTCGGTCTACAAATAAACATCAAAAAGACTGAAGTACTATTCCAACCAGGTACAGACCACCGAGAGGAGGAGGAGATCCTAGTGGATGGGATAGCCCTAAACCAGGTAGATGACTTCACTTACCTCGGCAGCACTATATCCAAAGACGGACGCATCGACTCTGAGCTGGTGAAAAGAATGTCAAAGGCCAGCAGTGCCTTTGGAAGACTGCGAACCAGGCTATGGAACAACCATCATGTCTCAACAAGAGTGAAGTGCAAAATCTACAGGGCTATCGTCCTATCCACTCTCTTATACGGTGCGGAAAGCTGGACTCTCTACACAAGTCAAGTAAAGAAACTTCACGCGTTCATGATGAGACACCTTCGAGCAATCATGAGAATCAGTTGGAAGGACAAGGTGACCAACAAAGAGGTACTAGAGCGAGCAAACCTTCCTTCTATGGAGGACCTGCTCATCAGGAAGAACCTACGATGGACAGGCCATGTCATCAGGATGCCCTCTGAGAGGTTACCAAAGCAAGTACTATTCTCGCAACTACCCGCTGGCGAAAGAGGGATTGGTCGTCCACGGCTTCGCTACAAGGACACGATCAAGAGGAACCTTAAGCGGAGGCAAATTGAAACCAAGACTTGGACAACTGCTGCAGGCCAGCGAGCTGTATGGAGAACAGCTGTAAAGTGAAAATGAAGGCGGTCATTGTCGCTTCGCGACAGACAGCTACTACTACTACTACATGAGAGCAGTGTGAACTTTTGACTCCCAAAATGTCCCCATGGCTTCACGAATGCAGAAGCGGAGTTGAAGCCCCTTGATGCATGATATAAATAGCGCCCTCTAAAGTACCTTTTTTGGATTGAGATATTTCAAGATATGCCCTTTCCTGCCCCCCCCCCCACAAAAAATATATATATATATATAGGTATCCTTCCTCTGACCGACTTGAAAATCTTGTTTTTCGGATAAATTCCGAAATAATATCAACTTGATCTAAAATGGCGCACCCTATACCTAGGTCAATGAAACTAAGTAGATATTTGTATCTATACATGTGACAACTGTCTGCCAAGTTTGGTAAAATTAAATGACGACATCGCGAAGTTATCACCAAAAATGATGAATTTACTATGCATTACATAACAATTGGTCGGTAATTTCAATACAATTGAATCTCGATCGATCTTACCGACAATTGTATATTGCATTGTTGACATGAAGACGAAAATAAACTTTCAAAAAAAAAAAAAAACATCTGCCGATAGATCTTGATCTAAGTTCGTGCCAATATGCATTGCAAAAGTAAAAGAAGGGCCCGTTTAATCGAGCAGCGGCGAAGCATCGACCACGCGAAGCTGTTTTCAATCCATTTTAATGTATATATTAGAGAAAACTGCTATATATGGTGACAGAGCGCGCTGGCCGAGCGGTTTAAGGCGCTGATTTTGGTTACAACACCTGTTGTACGCAAGAGTTCGAATCCCATCTTCGACATAATTTTTTTTTTTCGGCATATAAAAGTTTAAATGACTGCTTTAATATTCGAGAAATAATTGTTTTTATACGCTCTCGGGAAGGTTACAACTGGGCTATTGCCCTCGGCACGCCTCGGGTAATAGCACAATTCTAACTTTCCCTTGAGCGTATAAAAACAACTATTTCTCTCAAAGCAGTCATTAATACTATAATATTACCTACAGGTTTACAAGCATATTTGAAATATTTCAGATCCAGGTCGACATATTTGTGTCTAATCAAAAGGCAGAGAACAATGTTTTCAGTTTTGAGTGGCAATGATGTTTATTTTTTATTGCCAGTTGTTCTTTTTAAAAGAAAAGAAAGTTTGTAGCGGTAGTTATCCAGTGTTGCTGTGCAATGAATACATGTCTATAAAGAGGGCCTTCATTCTTCTTTGAAATCCCATCTTCTTGTTTTTTATTGTTAATCGATAAACAGGTGTACTTTTATGTAAAACTATTCACTAGGCATACAACGATGAGCTAGCCAAAGTATTCAGTTACTGTTACTATGCAGATGTATCTAATAACTATGTTTATTGTTTGAGTTACAGAGTTTAACTTACAGAGCATGCTTTGTGACTATATGCATGTTGTTGCCAGAAAGTTCTTCCATAACTTTCTGTTTTAAGGAGGGAGGTGTGACGCGCCTGCGTGCGCTTGGAGCCAAGGCTAGTGAATAAAGTGTTCGTTATCGCAGACATCTTGCACATAGACATTGGCCTCCTGACTGTTATGTTTTGGGAGTTATTGTGGCGGTTTGGGGATGTGCAATGCTTGTCTTTGGTGGCGAATCAGATTGTCGTGGTTTTGTGATGCCCATGATCCGTGACACGGAGGAATTTTAATTTCGTTGCCGCGGCCACAGTTGAACTATAGACAACACAACTTAGTACAATTACCAAAAGTAGAGAACGTTTACAAGAACAAATGTTGTCTGTTATCCATTTCAATTTTTTAAGATAAGAAACTAGATTTTATATTTTCTTTAACAGTATTTACTTTTCTTATAGTAAAGCATAGGATGTGTCAATATCACATGAAAAATACGATTTAATGATAATATTTATACTCTGTATTTATAGCGTTTGATACATTTGTATATGCGCTATTGTTTAGTCCCTTATATTGTTCCCGACTCTCACCTTGCAATATAAATGACCAGAAACAGTATGAACATTGTTATCACTTGACTGTGAACATTTGGTCGGATGTAGCCAGGGTATAGCCACATCATTATTGATACTGCTCTTCATGCAATTGTTATTACTCCATCCTTGCAACTACAATTTGGTTGTCGACAGGGAATATGTGGGCAAAACACCTTACCCAAGGATGTAAGCAGTATCACTGACAAGGAACAAACCTTTTGTATGAGAGTCAAGAGGCTTCACCAATATACCACTGTGCTATATAATGTTATATAGATATTCAGAAACTGGTAAATAACTTTTTGATATTCCTCTTAAATCTGATATTATCAATATTCTCTTTAATATTCATAATGAAGGGAAGTAAAAAACAAAATGTTCCCAACTTGTGTTCAGATGATTTACCAAAGAGGGAGAGGGAAGTTTTCTCACGAAACAAGCTTATATATTTAGATTTTCCCATCCTTAAAGGGATAGTTGAGTTCTGTTTTCAGACCGCAAATGCCTTCGAAGTGCATGGTTATTGCTCTTATTCTTATTTTTGACATTTATAGTGCCCTTTTAGAACCTACAATTGCTATGAAGGTAATTTTAGATCCCAAAATGTGTAAAATTTAGCCATTACGATCATACCAATTTATCTCCACTTTAAACGAAACACGGTGACCGTTAATTAATTATTTAATTAAAAATAACAATACATGAGCCGGTTAATTGTGGGTGGTATAAGCAACACGAAAATGCCAACAACAAAAAACAACATCGGCATTGGCTGAAATACGACGTAAAAGGCGTTATTTCGTTTTTTTCAACGGTTTTTTCAAATTTTTCAAAATTCTATTTTGTGGTGGTACACAAGTATTAGAAATCGTTATATTTCAGCCGTCTCTGAACCGATTTTGATCAAACAAAGATGATTGTGTCATTTAAATATTATGTTCTTTCAAATTTGAAAGTTTTTTATTATCTCACACAAAAATATTTTGTGTAGCGCCCACTGCAACAGAACTCAACTATCCCTTTAAACAACTTTTAAGGAGATAACAAACTTGTTTTCATTTGATTTCGTCCCGGATCTTCCTAATATTGCTCATCTCATAGTCAATTCAAGATTCAAGATTCGAGATTTTTTTTATTTCTTTCCACTTGCATAAAAAAACATTTCATTCAGGAACAGTAGCAACGAGTTCATCGTCAACTAGCATAAAAACATTAACAATAAAACAGTTATAAAGACTTTAACAAATGTGGAAAACAGGTGGTCTGTTAAAAAGCACAGCTTGTTGAAACGCAGATCACCTTTACAGTAACTTTTTTTTTGTTTAAGAAGTAGATTACAATACAGGGGGAGGGGGACTCACAATATTAATCTCGTTACATATACTGACTATAAATAATATCAGATTTACCACTAATTTATAGAATATGGTAGACTAAAAAGGAAAACAGAATAATGATAATGGAATAGTAAAGAAGAGGATAATGTACAACACGGGGTGGGGGACCAGTGGCGGATCCCCCCCCCTGACGCTCAAGGGGGGGGGGGTGCAATTTTTTTTAATTTTCGAGGACCAAAAACAAAAAATTGTGCTCACTACTACAAATTACTGTCTGTTACTAAGATAACTTCTAAACCATTCGAGTGCAAGTCCTCTTACCCAATAATAAGAGAGCTTGCGCAACAAAATATTTATGGTTTACCGTATCAAAAGCTTTGGAATAATCCAAAAATATACCAACTGTATGGAGGTGTTTATCAAGTGCCGAAGATATTTTGTCTAAAAGACATAAAACAGCATGATAAGTTGTGTGTTTCTCGCAAAAACCAAACTGAGAATTTGAGAAAACTTGACACGATTTCAAAAACTGTATCAATCTAATATATACAAGTTTTTTCCAAAATCTTAGAAAAGACAGTAAGTATAGAAATTGGTCTTCAATAACCCGTTTCTACAAGGTTCACTTTTTTATATATAGGCACAACTTAAGCTATTTTCAATTTTTAGGAACACTTCCATGCATTAAAGACAAGTTATAAATGTGAGTGAGAGGTATGACTACAAATGAAATTACATCTTTTATCAAATCATTAGTTTTACCATCATATCCAGGGCTCTTTTCCCTTTTCAAGCCACTAACAGCATCTATTACCTCAGAATTCACTACAGGAACAAAAAATAAAGTCTTTTCATTTAGACTGGCTAGATAATTTCCATAGGTTTCCTGTATATCAGGTATGGAGCTAGACAGAGCAGCACCAATGTTAGAAAAATATTCATTAAATGCTTCACACATAAGTTTCTTGTCTTCAATAAGACCATCCTTCCAGGTGAGTTTTGTAATACTCTGTAGTTTAGGATTGGTTTTCAAGACGTTTCGAATAACTTTCCATGTTCCTTCAACATTGTTACACGTAGACTGGAATTGAAAATGATAATAGTCTTTCTTTGCTTGGCGCAGAGCAGAAGTCAATATATTTCTATAGTTAGTATACTTTAACTTGGCTTCACCAATCTGCTTTCCTTTGTATCTACAAATCAAACGATACTTTTTATTTATTGACCTAAGTAAGGACTTAGTGACCGATGGCATTCGATGTACTCTTTTATGTTCTTGCTTTACTTCTTTGCACCAAGGGAAAGCATCTGTCATAAAATAACACTATTATATCCATGAATTTATCAAAAGATTTTTAACTTCTGTCTCACATAAAACTTCGTTCCATTCAACAGTTTCCAATTCCTCTCTTAAATTTTGCTATATTTCCCTTAGTGAATTTCCGTGTTAACTTATCACATGATTCATTACAAGAACTCCTTAATGCTAAAGATGATCTAGCAAATATAGGGAAATGATCTGATTTATAAAATGGCTCTAGTATTTTAAGCATCGTGATTGGTCAATACGCGTCACATGACATTGACAAATTTTTGATGCAAGCACGATTTTGCAGAAATGAGTGCAACAAAAAGTTTTATAAAATGGCTCTAGTATTTTAAGCATCGTGATTGGTCAAAACGCGTCACATGACATTGAAAAAAATTTGATGCAAGCACGATTTTGCAGAAATGAGTGCAGAAAAAGCGCAGTAAAAAGTTATATTGCACGGTGCGTACGCGTGACCATGGAGATCCAGTGCGCGCGCGTACGTGTAGTACGCGCTCCCTCGAGTTGCATTGCAATTATTGTAGGCTACGCGTAGCTAATATTGTACGCTCCACCATAATCCCCAGCGCAACGTACGCGTAGCTAGCTAGCTAGAGCGGCCAGCGGGGTATTATTAAAAAGCAAATTTTTATTTTACTTTTGCCTTGGATTTAGGCCTGTTTTGACTTTTGGATTTTATAATGAAGCCAGGAATTTCAGCTGTCTGATGTAGACTCGTCTCTAGACCCACTGTATGGATTTTATTTTTAATCAAGGCAATGAATCCCATTGACTTTTTGGTAAGCCTGCAAGGTCTTAGTCTAATTAGAAGTAGATCTAGAAGTAGAACCAACATAACTCTAGATCTAGATCGAACTCTCGTAGACTCTACTTATTAGATCTAAAGTTTCGTTTTTGCTATTTGTGTCGCTATTTTATAAAACAAATAACGCACTTGACCCTGTTGTGCAAAACGTAAATGCAGTAAACGCTCGGTTTCTTCAGATGGTTCGCACTGTCAACTCGCCGCAAGCGGCTCGTTGCACAGAGCGGCACCAATCTAAAGAAACCTCGCGCGTACTGCATTCACCGCTATTGCACTCTGGGACGTGCGTTATTTGTATAATATTGCACGTGACCATGGAGATCCAGTGCGCGCGCGTACGTGTAGTACGCGCTCCCTCGAGTTGCATTGCAATTATTGTAGGCTACGCGTAGCTAATATTGTAGCTCCAGCGTACGCGTACTTAACTATGCGCGCTAAAGCGGGAGATTTGAAAACAAATTTTCCATAAATTTGAAAGCGTACGTACCCTTGTTTGTTGTAGGCCTAGCTGAAATCGCGAAAATGGCGACTACCGGTAATAAGTCGTTTCATGTCCCCACGGACGTAGAACTCGCTGACCTGGTGGGCCAGATGGATAGTGGCAACACAAAGAAGAGTTTGAAATTCGCTAGAGACAAATTACTAGGATTTGCAGCCTATTCGAACACGAATTTAGAGACCGGACTGGACGTTCCGTCTGATCTTGATTCCTTTCTGACCAAGTTTTACGCCGGGGTTCGAAAAGAGGATGGGACAAGTTACAAAAAAGAACTATGCAGACTCTTAGATACGGAGTTCAACGACATTATATGGACGAATCCGACTGGGATATTACAGACAAAGTGAAATTTCCTCAATCAAATCGCATGTTTAAGGCCGTAATGGTGAGTTTGAAGAAGCAAGGAAAAGGTTTCGTCGAGCATAAACCCGTGATCATCTCAACGGACATGCAAACAATGCAGAACTCTGAGGAACTTGACATGACAACACCGAAAGGGTTGCAAAATAAGGTTTTCGTCGATATCATGACCTTTTTTGTAACCGTGGTAGGGAGAACATTCGTGAGATGAAGCCAGGTGATTTCACGATTGAGACAGACGTCGACAGTGGCCTTTCTTACATGAAGAAGAAAGACTGTCTCACCAAGAACAACAGAGAAGGGCAGGATGAAGTGTCAAACAGTGGCCGGATGTATGATATTCCGAATAGTAATTCATGTCCCTTGAGAGCATTCCAGACTTACGTCAGTAGACTGAACGCAAAGTGCATCTGGCTCTGGCAAAGACCCAAACAAGCAGCTCCTAAGGATGGATCTTGTTGGTACTGCGATAGCCCACTTGGAGTAAACACCATCGGAAACAAGCTCAAGTCAATATCTCGTAATGCTGGGTGTAGCCAAGTTTACACGAACCATTCGCTGCGTGCCACTACAATCAATACACTCGACAGTGCTGGTGTCCAAGGTAGGGACATATTGTCAATAAGTGGACACAAGAGCGAGACCAGTCTCCGCCACTATAGTCGGACAAGCGACGAGAGAAAGAGGGAGATGAGCGGCATGCTTGCCAATCATCTCTACTCTGGACCTGATCAGTTTTACACTTCTTCTTCTACTGCTGCTACTTCTTCAACTTCTAGTTCTACTGCTCCTTCTTCAACTTCTTCTGCTCCTTCTTCTTCTACTACTACTAGTATCATTAGTTCTACTTCTACATTCAGCTCTAGCCAAGAAACCGTGGCATACGGCGGCGATCCTAGTATTCCTACATCTGTCGAATTCAGTTTTTCACAGATTCAGCAGCAGAGCATCCAGAAGGTGTTCCATTTCCATGGATGCAATGTGAATATTTATAATAACTGATTGTCTATACCTCCACTGTACATATATATCTATGATCTACGTTCAAACTGTAAATGCGTTGTTTTGCCTGTTTTGACTTTTGGCCTGTTTTGACTTTTGGATTTTATAATGATCGCAGCCAGGAATTTCAGGGCATGCCAATTTTATGATTTCAGCTGTTTCACTGTCTGCCAAGTTCTATGGATTTTATTACTCAAGGCAAGTGGAAATCCCGTGAACGTTTTGGTAAGTAGATCTTTAGTATACTCTGTATAGCAAGCCTGCAAGGTCTTAGAATCTAACTCTTAATCTTATCTTATTTGTCGCTAAGCCTATTTTATAAAACAAATAACGCACTTGACCCTGTTGTGCGTAACGTGAATGCAGTACGCGCTTGGTTTCTTCAGATGGTTCGCACTGTAAACTCGCCGCAAGCGGCTCGTTCACAGAGCGGCACCAATCTAAAGAAACCTCGCGCGTACTGCATTCACCGCTATTGCACTCTGGGACGTGCGTTATTTGTATAATATCGGCCACTATTATACCAGCAGTGGGAATAGGGTGCAAATTGGTGAAAATATTGTCAATGAAGGTTTGTGAGTTTTTTATTAATCTAGTTGGTTTATTAATCAGAGGAATCAAAGAGAATGTACCCAAAGTATCAACAAAATAATAAACAGAGTAATCGCGATCATAACAAAATAAATTTATATTAAAATCACCCATAATAATTAGTTTTTTTTATTTCTAAATAATGGGCTTGAAAGAGTGTTAGACAATTCTTCCATAAATTCATTCACATCACTATTTGGTGGCCTGTAGACTACTCCCACTAAGTTTTTTTTTCTCCAGGAATTAGAATCTCAACAGATAGAGATTCTAATGAATCATTCATAATGTACAATTCTGCTTTTGTATGACACTCAAATGAAATGGGAATATACATTGCTACACCACCACCTGATCTGCTTTGTCGATCATTAGTGACTAGTTGATACCTAGGAAGATCGTACATGGCAGTTGGATGACTAGAAAACAAAGTTTCAGTGATTCCAATTATTGGGTACTTATCCTGAAAAGTGTCCAAACACAAGGAAAGCCTGTCAATATTTGCATTCATGCTACGCACATTAAAGTGCAAAAAGGACGTTTCATTGACAGGACAGTTTTCTAAATGTTCAGAAAATTGTTTTTCAGTAAAATATTTTGAGTCGTACGCTGTTGTTTCAACCTCGTCATTCAACATAATCAAAACGTGTTGCATTCGTATTCAACTCTGCAACAATATTCTCATCAGACTGAGTGTGGCTCAATTGATTAGCATTAACCTGAGGCATCATAACCTTCACTATAATCTGCACATAGATCTGTTGTTATAAAGTAAGTAACTGGATTTAGCAACAGCACATAAGGGCAAAAAAAGACATACACACAATTGATTGAGATGTTAAAAGTCATCCTTTCCGCATGGCCAAGCATCACGTATACAAAAATGTGATGTGTTAACATATTTACAAACTTCCTCAAAATGAGTTAGGCAAGAAGACTCATTTACAGAGGTTAAAATCTATCAAACAACAAACGTGGGTTGCTTCTGGGGCTCAGAATCAACCTGAGAAAAATAATGATTTTCTCTAGCGTACATAATACATGTAGGGGTCTACAGAATATTTAACATACATTCTTTATGACTCACATCATTCACATGTGAAGAAATCAGATTGGTCGTTTTACTCACTGGTTAAATATCCAACCAATTAGAAAAAGAGGTTAAAGAAGTACCTGGAAAATGCATAGGAATGCTATGAATTAGATGCAAAGAAATAAAACAATAAAGTTGAGATCACAGATAACACATTCAAGCCTTATGAATCATCGCGCTCATGAATTGACGGTCTTGACATTAAGATGCATGGGCAAGATCAGTGACAGCTTGATAGAAAACAGCAGGGGCACTCCCTCGAGAATGCCACTTCCCTGCAGAAAAGTGAAGGAATGTCCCAGCGCGATATGCATCTGCAACTTCCTTCTTCCACTTATTTTTCTCATCCCTGTCCTGTTTTGTGTAGTCATCGACGATGTAGAAGGGAGCATCCTTTAGCGTCTGGCGCTTGAGAGACATGATCTGCCGTTGGTCCTGATAAGACAGCAACTTGAATAACATGTGTCTCGGCCTCCCTTCAATTGGTTTCCCACCTCGGTGTGCACGCTCAATTGGTAGATTTTGCATCCCGAAGTACTGAACCAGCAAAGTGGCAACTTTCTCATCAGGCTTTTCTCCATTATCCTCCGCCAGGCCGACGATTCTTAGGTTATTTCTCCTTGAAAATCTGCCAAGCTTACGTTCTGCCTCCTCGGCTTTGTGGATTTGGATATGGAGATTTTCAAGTTTCTTCTCCATAGAATTGACCTTCTGCTCAAGAGACTGAACACGATGCTCAAGATCAGTTGTACGGGTGGCTGGAAATTCGAGGGCAGACTCAAAACCATCCAACTTAGATTGGATGTTAGTTATGCCCCGTTGCAAGGCACCGACTGCGGCAATCCATCGCACAGCTCAGTTTGCGCTGGTACATCCACGGACATAGATGCAGACTTACCGGTAGCCGAGTCGCGTGGCTTTGATTGGCTATTTCTAGGCATGACGAGAATTATGAATACTTTCTCGTGGCAGAAATGTTACATTATAAACAGCTGATAACTGCATCAAAATGTTGTTCTCCCTCCATAGTAAGATGAAATTAAGTTGATTGTCAGAGAAATCGAATCTAAGTCCATGAAACAAACGAACATTTCTGGAGCCCCAGCAACACACGTCAACTCGCGGCCATCTTTATCTTTATCTTCCGTCTTTTGGCATTAATTTTGTTTTAACTTTGTTCAATCAAAGTCATCATTTCGAATCCACTTTCGTCAAAGTTAAATCAAGTTGTACTGGGACATGGGGGAATGGGGATGATTGTTTTAAACGGGATCGCATTTATTTGTGTAATCGCATTTATTTATCTAGCTGCAAAACTATCACTAGTATTTTTGCTTCTTCCCCCGACGGTGTCACTCATTTGGTTTGTATAAATGCTTTGAATTTGTTTTTATTATGTAAACCTCAATTTTGCCACCTAGATTTGTTTATATGTGCTTTTAAGCGAATAAAGAATAGGAAATGGAAACAAGTTAACACTTAAATTTCACATCGGTTTATTTCACTGTTCGCATTAATTAGCACAGAGAGAGAGAGAGATAGACGTGAAAATTTCACGATCAACGAATATGTATTAGCATTATTCTTATTTGTTTATCGTCTCTACAATACTATTTGAATAAACAACATGTTTAAATGTTAGGCTTCCTGGGAGAAGTTTCAATTGCTTTTACGACATTTATGGTGTGCACTCCGTAGATTCCGCTGGATTCAAGATATGTTACTGATTTGTTTTTTTAATTACGAGATCGAGCACATGATCTCAATCTACTGGGTGCAAGTCAAAAATGTCTTTACAACAATAAACAACATTGTGGTACTATTTATGTAACGTCACTTAATTATCTTTGTTATGAAATTGCACGTGACGAATGTGATGAAAACGACGATGCTTATCATTATTGTTATTTTAGTTATAATAATAATTGTTATATCATTCCAATCCTCTTCATAATCTGCATTGTCAGCAAAAATGGCAGTAGTGTAGTAAAAGTACAAGTAGTAGTAGTGGTTTCATTCCGATCCTTATTATCTTGATTATATTTTGCAATACGTCATGTGCCCAGAATTTATTGCTATACTACATTCAAGATGTCTACCAAACAGGGGCGGCGATCCGGGGCGGTGGGGGGACACGTCCCCCCTTGCATAATACCCTTCAAAATGTACAAGTAATTACCGAGAAAATTAAAGGGTGAAAAAAAGTATATTGCTAACGTTTATACTATAGTTTTGCTAAGGAATATAATTTGTTAAAACATAAAAATTTCGAAAAACCTGTGAGGGGGTAGTCACCGTCACCCCTCTCATTTACTATGCTCCCTCGCATTTGCGTACTGATGGGGGCGGGGGGGGGGGGGCTTTAGGGGCAGTTCCCCCCTCCCCAAATGAATTCAAACGTATTTCTAATTCGTTACCAGTGATTTACAAATGTTGTAGAAATGGCATGATCATATTGCTCCTGTTGTCTCACTTTCGCTCGCTAGACCAAGCCCAGCACAAACGTAGCTAGTTCGACGTCACTACCAAACTAGCCAATCAGCTGTCAATGACGTCATTTTGAATGAGGCGGCAAATATATTTTGTGGAATTATCGAAAAATTGACTATTTCTAATCGCAAACTAGTTTTATTTCTGTATGGAAACGCATGCAGCCATTGTTAACTTGGCATGCATTTATGTCATCAGAATAGGGTAAATTATGTCTTACATGATTCAAGGGGTCTATTTTGCAGGAAAATTGTCAATTTCGTAGAATGTTCCACTATGTTACAGGATGTGCCATTGGGTATGTGTGAACCGGGTGTGCGGAAATGATGTGTCGGGGAGGGGAAGTGAGAGTGTTCGTGCGCGTGGTAATTGTATGTGTGTCAGATAGCTAATCATAAATCTACAATGACGAGTAAACTGTCTACATCACAGTCCACAGATAAATATGTGCCTTGAACGTATATGGCAGACGGCAATTGGCGGAGCAGATGACACTTGGTAGTGATTTTGTATGTGAGATTGCTTTGCTAAATATAAAATACAAGAACCTTTTCCATATCTTTAAACTATCATTGATATCTGATAATTGAACAGTTAGTAAAATAAACCTACCAAACTACATAATACAATGAAATACTTGACTGAAAGTAGGGGAGTTTGATATGGTGCACAATTGCACCTCTTTGTAAATAATCGAATAGTCCATGGTGTGTCATGAATATTCATGTTTTTGCTTACCTCGGCAAAATGTTTGCCTAAACTAAATGGAAAAATTACGGTGAGGGGTTGGCTGAAGTGGACATATTGAACCAATCAGAACTGATCTATGATAATCTTTGCTTGTTATCATCCGTGTGCTTGACCTATAATAATAATAATAATAATAATAATAATAATAATAGCCTAATAGTCCACTCCAAATTTTATTAAACCGAAACGGAAATTGTTTCTGCCCAATTGATTGTGAGCCCGGCAGCCACTGAGCAGCGCCAGATCGACGTTGCTCTATTCCTTATTGTTGAACACCAAACAAGGTAGCAACAACTCCCATCTTTTGGTATTACGCGGCCGGGGTTCGAACCTACGACCTCCCGGTTGTGAGGCGGACGCTCTACTGACTGAGCCAACACTCCGGTATTAACCTTACAGTTGTTTGGCAAATTGCGTCCAAAGTTCGACTTGTTACACATGCGTTATATAGGCAATGGCGAGCTTGCGACCTGTTTTGATCAAATTACGGTGGGTGAAATTTCAAAAGTCAATGAGACATGAGGGTTCCAATGAAAGAGCTAGTGTCAACGTACGTCGGGCCCCTGGTTGCTCAGCTGACCGAAATTAAATGCCTAAAACGCCTGAATTTCCGGGGGCTCTGCTCCCTGGACCCCTCAAAGGTCCTTAAGTCGGGTCCCTGGTTGCACATATGACCGTAATTCGATGCCTTAAACCCCTGAGCTTCTGGGGGCTCTGCCCTCTGGACCCCACCCTAATAAGTGACCTGCATGCCAGTGTCACAAATAAGGTATCAAAATATGCTCATCTGACCGTAATTAAATGCCTTATACCCCTGAGCTTCAGGGGGCTCCGCTCCCAGGATGCTCATCTGACCTTAATAAATGCCTAAAAACCCCTGAGCTTCATCAGGCTGCGCCCCTTGACACCCGCCGGGGCTTTGCCATCGGATCTCACGCCAATGTACGCTCCACTTTGCTTTGCTTTGCTCTACCTGATCGTAAATACTGTAACCCCCCACCCCCGACTTTGAAAAGCGTTCCAGGGCCTGGGTAACATGTTAGAGTGGTGGTGATGCGGATTTTTTTTCCACCCCCCCCCCCAAACAAAAACAAAAAAGTTTTTGCCGATTATGCCACAGCTCCCTCGTCCCTCGCATTTGAAAAGAAAAGAAAAGAAATCGCTGCCCCTGCTACCCAAACTCTTAATTCTTGCTGAAATATTATCAACAGAAAAGAAGAAACTTATTCGCCCCCTTTTCGTTATTTTTTTCATTGCTCTTTTGCAACTATATTTTGGATGGCCAAACGCAGGGCATCTCAAAGCCAGATTCTGAAAGTATGTCAAGGGGAAATTTAGACACCATTTTTTACCCTGCACGATTATCTTAGTATGGGAGGCCAATTCGGCCACAGTACGCGTCATTTTTTCATTCACCCAAATCCCATTTGCATGCAGCGCTTGTGAGCCCTATCTAGGTCCCTTTCTCTATTTCGATTCATTTCGTAGGCATAGTCTCTAGCATCCTATCAAGGTCATTGTACTCTTCGTTTGACAAAATCACCATGTGTTACCGTCCAGGCGCCATTTTGTCAATTTCTGGTCCGTTTTAATGCCTTTCTGTATTCATTCGTATCTCCACTATCCTAGATCCTGCATACTTCTTACATATTTTTCTAGATAGTCCAAAGGATTTTCTTTCATCTGCGACGTGTAACCTATTTGAAATTAATATAGAAATCAACTCCGTCAAAAAATGCTTAAATTCTATAATTATTGACCTCTAAAAAAAATTGCAAATTGCCATAAAAATATGAACCTCACCACTGACCAATTTTGCAAAAAGAAAATTGAAAATATTCATTTTTTCTAGGTGTTTTGGTGATTAACTGATGAGAGTTTCCAGCTTTCACTAGGAATGTGGCAGAAGAAAGAGAAGATACAGCATGTAGATAAATTTAAGAACAGCCTTAAAAGATTTCGATTAATTAAAGAACGTGTACAGTACTTTAAGAGCCAGGAGAATGACACCTAGCTTTCATTAAGAATGTGGAAGAAGTCGGTCAGTCGTAAAGGCAACGCCAAAAGTCTGATCCACGGAGACAAAAATGAAGGAAGTGAACAAGATTGCCATATTGGTGATTTGCAGAGTGCACTAAGCAGTGCTGTGCAGAATGGACAACTTGACCTCATCCAAAAACCAATCGGTAAAGGAGCCGAGGTGAATAACAGCGGAAATGACGGTTTGATTGTGCTGCTCAAAATAGTCATCCTGAAGTCACCAAATATCTCATCAGTCAAGGAGCCCAGGTGAATAAAGTTCAAAATGACGATTGGACTGCATTACATCAAGCTTCACAATATGGTCATCTTGATGTCGTCAAAGAATTAATCAATCAAGGTGCTGAGGTGAATAAAGTTGAGAAGGACGGGTGGATCGCTTTACATTTGGCAGCACAGAATGGCCATCCTCACGTCACCAAATATCTCATCAGTCAAGGAGCCCAGGTGAATAACAGCGCACATGACGGTTTGACCCCATTACATTTGGCAGCACAGAATGGTCACCCTGATGTCACCAAATATCTCATCAGCCAAGGTGCTGAGGTGAATAAAGTTGAAAACGACGGTTGGACTGCATTACATCAAGCTTCAGTGAATGGTCATCTTGATGTCGTCAAAGAATTAATCAGTCAAGGTGCTGAGGTGAATGAAGTTGAAAAGGACGGATGGATCGCTTTACATTTTGCAGCGCAGAAAGGTCATCCTGATGTCACCAAATATCTCATCACTGAAGGAGCCCAGGTTAATTACATCGCAAATGATGGTTTGACCCCATTACATTTGGCAGCACAAAATGGTCACCCTGATGTCACCGAATGTCTCATCAGTCAAGGTGCTGAGGTGAATAAAGTTGAAAACGACGGTTGCACTGCACTACATCAAGCTTCAGTGAATGGTCATCTTGATGTCGTCAAAGAATTAATCAGTCAAGGTGCTGAGGTGAATGAAGTTGTAAAGGACGGATGGATTGCTTTACATTTGGCAGCACAGAATGGCCATCCTGACGTCACCAAATATCTCATCAGTCAAGGAGCCCAGGTGAATAACAGTTCAAATGACGGTTTGACCCCATTACATTTGGTAGCACAGAATGGTCATCCTGATGTCACCAAATATCTCATCAGTCAAGGAGCCCAGGTTAATTACATCGCAAATGACGGTTTGACCCCATTACATTTGGCAGCACTAAATGGTCATCCTGATGTTTCCAAATATCTCATCAGTCAAGGAGCCCAGGTGAATAACAGTTCAAATGACGGTTTGACCCCATTACATTTGGTAGCACAGAATGGTCATCCTGATGTCACCAAATATCTCATCAGTCAAGGAGCCCAGGTTAATTACATCGCAAATGACGGATTGACCCCATTACATTTGGCAGCACAGAATGGTCACCCTGATGTCACCAAATATCTCATCAGTCAAGGTGCTGATGTGAATAAAGTTGAAAACGACGGTTGGCCTGCATTACATCAAGCTTCAGTGAATGGTCATCTTGATGTCGTCAAAGAATTAATCAGCCAAGGTGCTGAGGTGAATGAAGTTGAAAAGGACGGATGGATCGCTTTACATTTTGCAGCACAGAATGGTCATCCTGATGTCACCAAATATCTCATCAGTCAAGGAGCCCAGGTTAATTACATCGCAAATGACGGTTTGACCCCATTACATTTGGCAGCACAGAATGGTCATCCTGATGTCACCAAATATCTCATCAGTCAAGGAGCCCAGGTGAATAACAGTTCAAATGACGGTTTGACCCCATTACATTTGGCAGCACAGAATGGTCACCCTGATGTCACCAAATATCTCATCAGTCAAGGTGCTGATGTGAATAAAGTTGAAAACGACGGTTGGCCTGCATTACATCAAGTTTCAGTGAATGGTCATCTTGATGTCGTCAAAGAATTAATCAGTCAAGGTGCTGAGGTGAATGAAGTTGAAAAGGACAGATGGATCGCTTTACATTTTGCAGCACAGAATGGTCATCCTGATGTCACCAAATATCTCATCAGTCAAGGAGCCCAGGTTAATTACATCGCAAAAGACGGTTTGACCCCATTACATTTGGCAGCACAGAATGGTCATCCTGAAGTCACCAAATGTCTCATCAGTCAAGGTGCTGAGGTGAATAAAGTTGAAAACGACGGTTGCACTGCACTACATCAAGCTTCAGTGAATGGTCATCTTGATGTCGTCAAAGAATTAATCAGTCAAGGTGCTGAGGTGAATGAAGTTGTAAAGGACGGATGGATTGCTTTACATTTGGCAGCACAGAATGGCCATCCTGACGTCACCAAATATCTCATCAGTCAAGGAGCCCAGGTGAATAACAGTTCAAATGACGGTTTGACCCCATTACATTTGGTAGCACAGAATGGTCATCCTGATGTCACCAAATATCTCATCAGTCAAGGAGCCCAGGTTAATTACATCGCAAATGACGGTTTGACCCCATTACATTTGGCAGCACTAAATGGTCATCCTGATGTTTCCAAATATCTCATCAGTCAAGGAGCCCAGGTGAATAACAGTTCAAATGACGGTTTGACCCCATTACATTTGGCAGCACAGAATGGTCACCCTGATGTCACCAAATATCTCATCAGTCAAGGTGCTGATGTGAATAAAGTTGAAAACGACGGTTGGCCTGCATTACATCAAGCTTCAGTGAATGGTCATCTTGATGTCGTCAAAGAATTAATCAGCCAAGGTGCTGAGGTGAATGAAGTTGAAAAGGACGGATGGATCGCTTTACATTTTGCAGCACAGAATGGTCATCCTGATGTCACCAAATATCTCATCAGTCAAGGAGCCCAGGTTAATTACATCGCAAAAGACGGTTTGACCCCATTACATTTGGCAGCACAGAATGGTCATCCTGATGTCACCAAATATCTCATCAGTCAAGGAGCCCAGGTTAATTACATCGCAAATGACGGATTGACCCCATTACATTTGGCAGCACTAAATGGTCATCCTGATGTCACCAAATATCTCATCAGTCAAGGTGCTGATGTAAATAAAGTTGAAAACGACGGTTGGCCTGCATTACATCATGCTTCAGTGAATGGTCATCTTGATGTCGTCAAAGAATTAATCAGTCAAGGTGCTGAGGTGAATGAAGTTGAAAAGGACGGATGGATCGCTTTACATTTTGCAGCACAGAATGGTCATCCTGATGTCACCAAATATCTCATCAGTCAAGGAGCCCAGGTTAATTACATCGCAAATGACGGTTTGACCCCATTACATTTGGCAGCACAGAATGGTCATCCTGATGTCACCAAATATCTCATCAGTCAAGGAGCCCAGGTTAATTACATCGCAAATGACGGTTTGACCCCATTACATTTGGCAGCCCAGAATGGTCACCCTGATGTCACCAAATATCTCATCAGTCAAGGTGCTGATGTGAATAAAGTTGAAAACGACGGTTGGCCTGCATTACATCAAGTTTCAGTGAATGGTCATCTTGATGTCGTCAAAGAATTAATCAGTCAAGGTGCTGAGGTGAATGAAGTTGAAAAGGACAGATGGATCGCTTTACATTTTGCAGCACAGAATGGTCATCCTGATGTCACCAAATATCTCATCAGTCAAGGAGCCCAGGTTAATTACATCGCAAAAGACGGTTTGACCCCATTACATTTGGCAGCACAGAATGGTCATCCTGAAGTCACCAAATATCTCATCAGTCAAGGAGCCCAGGTTAATTACATCGCAAATGACGGTTTGACCCCATTACATTTTGCAGCACTAAATGGTCATCCTGAAGTCACCAAATATCTCATCAGTCAAGGAGCCCAGGTTAATTACATCGCAAATGACGGTTTGACCCCATTACATTTGGCAGCACTAAATGGTCATCCTGAAGTCACCAAATATCTCATCAGTCAAGGAGCCCAGGTTAATTACATCGCAAAAGACGGTTTGACCCCATTACATTTGGCAGCACAGAATGGCAATCCTGATGTCACCAAATATCTCATCAGTCAAGGAGCCCAGGTTAATTACATCGTAAATGACGGTTTGACCCCATTACATTTGGCAGTACTAAATGGTCATCCTGATGTTACCAAATATCTCATCAGTCAAGGAGCCCAGGTGAATAACAGTTCAAATGACGGTTTGACCCCATTACATTTGGCAGCACAGAATGGTCACCCTGATGTCACTAAATATCTCATCAGTCAAGGTGCTGAGGTGAATAAAGTTGAAAACGACGGTTGGACTGCATTACATCAAGCTTCAGTGAATGGTCATCTTGATGTCGTCAAAGAATTGATCAGTCAAGGTGCTGAGGTGAATAAAGTTGAAGAGGACGGATGGATCGCTTTACATTTGGCAGCACAGAATGGTCATCCTAATGTCACCAAATATCTCATCAGTCAAGGAGCCCAGGTTAATTACAGTTCAAATGACGGTTTGACCCCATTACATTTGGCAGCACAGAATGGTCACCCTGATGTCACCAAATATCTCATCAGTCAAGGTGCTGAGGTGAATGAAGTTGAAAAGGACGGATTGATCGCTTTACATTTGGCAGCACTGAATGACCATCCTGACGTCACCAAATATCTCATCAGTCAAGGTGCTGAGGTGAATAAAGGTGGTATATATGGTTTGACCCCTTTACATATAGCTGCAATGAATGGTCATCCTGATGTCACCAGGTACCTGATCAGACTAGGAGCTGATGTTGATAAGGCTTGTGACAGAGGATGGTCAGCCTTAAACATTGCCACAGCTGCTGGTCATGTTCGTGTTTCAAGTGCTTTGCTTAGTCAACAAGCTGAGCTGACCACATCAAATATGATTCATTGGACGGAGTTACAAACCTTTGCAGAGACAGGCGATCTTGATGCCATGAAAGATCATGTCAGTCAAGGAGCCGAGCTGGATGAAGCTGGTTCTTTTGGTTGGACAGCCTTACATATTGCAGCAAGTAATGGACACCTTGGTATGACAAAATATTTGCTAAGTCAAGGAGCTGATGTGAATTATAGCAACGACTTTGGTAGGTGTGCCTTGCATAATGCCTCAGAGAAAGGGAATTTGGATGTCGTGAAATATCTGATCAGTGAAGGGGCTGATATGAACAAAGGAAATAACTCTGGAGTGACTGCCCTATATTTTGCATCAGAGTCTGGCCATTTAGATATCGTCAAATCCCTAATGAGCCATGGAGTTGAGGCAGATAATTGCGACGCAAATGGAATCACTGCTCTCCACTATGCTATATGTGCTTGTAATATCGACATTACGAAGTATCTGCTCAGCCAAGGCTCTAAACTAAATAAGAGAAGTGTGCATGACTCTGTCATCTTAAAATTTGATGGACAGTATGGTCACTATGATGTTGTGCGATGTATGCAGAGTAATGTAGGTCGTACAGATAGCAGACTCGTTGATTCTCTCACTGTCTTTAGAGGTGCTCCAGAAGGTGATCTTGGAAGAAGCAAATATCAAGATGGCGATGAGAAAAAGGCAGTTCAAGGTGGAATGGTTATGGTGCGTATGCCACTTATATTGTCTGATCTTGACATTCAAGATCTTCTTGCAAGTCAAGGAGGCAGAACAGTTAGTCGCACATCATTACAATATGCTGTAGAAGGTGGCAGTTTAGCAGTTGTTCGGTTTCTGGTCAGTCAAGGAGCTGAAGTGAACGAAAGCAACAATGCTGGCTGGACTGCCCTTCATTTAGCTGCGCAAATGGGTCATCTTGGTATTGTAGATTATCTACTTGGAAAAGGAGCTGAAGTAGCTAAAGGGGATGTTGATGGTATCTCTCCTTTGCATGTTGCTGCATTCATTGGCCGTTGCAGCGTTATCGAGCATTTGCTTAGGCGAGGAGCAGAGGTCAACGGAGCCACCAAGGAGAAAGGTTCTACAGCCCTACATGTGGGCGTGCAGAATGGTCATCTCGATATCACGAAAGGCTTGCTCAACCACGGAGCCGAAATTGATGCGACAGACAATGACGGTTGGACTCCCTTGCACATTGCTGCTCAGAACGGTCACATCGATGTCATGAAGTGTCTACTTCAGCAACATGCTGATGTTACCAAGGTTACCAAGAAGGGGTCATCTGCATTGCATTTGTCTGCTGCAAATGGACATACCGATGTCACAAGATATCTATTGGAGCACGGAGCTGAAGTAAATCTACGTAAACCTGGGAAGACTGCGTTGCAACTCGCAGCAGAACAAGACCAAGTGCAAGGGATAGGTTCAGATACGCGGTGTGCTGAAGGGCAGAAACACCCTTCTTCCCCAAATAGCCATGTAGATACTGAGGGTTTAACAGAAGATGAGAAGAAGGTATTTAATTTAGTATTCCTATATATTTCATATGAAAAAAATATCATACAGTTTATCAATATTCTTGCAAGTTTTAAAATCATATCAATATAAATTGAAAACGGTTAGCAAATTTGTATCCTTAATAATCCTGTTAAAACTTTCTTGTGAAGGTATATAGATTGTCTGAATTATGAAAAAGGTTGAAATGATTCCACGAGGACTTCTCAAAACCTATTGTGTACCAGTACATATACATGTAAGTCAAAGCTGTCTTAGTGGTCACCTCTCTATGAAAGCCACCTGTGTATCGTGGCAGTTTATTTTGCCTCCCTCGAGAAAGAAATGTGTGTTTGAGAACCTCTCTACAAAGGCCACCAGTCAACAGTGACCACTTTTTTTCTCCCCATGGGTGACCTTTACAGACAAATTTGACTTGTATAATATTTGTTTAATTTTTAATATCTGTATATATGTAAGTCTACTTGGTGATTAAAGATATGGAAAACCAGAAAAGAAACTGCTTCATAAAAGCTGTTTTGTTTGTAGATTCTTAATTCTTGAGGATGGTGTTTTACACAGGTTGTTGGACAACATACTGAGAAAGGCTGCACACCAGTTCATTTAGCCACGCAAAATGGCTACACCGCCATCATCGAGACATTAGTTTCTCATGGCGCCGATCTCAACATCCAGTCCATAGACGGACAGACCTGTCTTCACGAAGCCGTCATACTTTCTGGTCGGAAGAACAGCAGGGTTGAAGCAACACCAGCACTCCAAAAGGTAAGATGATGAACTCCAGAACACACTGTCCTTGGGATTGTACAATATTTGTACCTCCGACAATTGCTATGAAGTAATTTCCTACACTAACCGGATTGCTTACTTACAATGGGATGCAATTGGAATCATGCCATTCACACGTAAGTGAGCATCGCCTTTTAACAACGAATGAGTTAGAAAAACACAACAAATGTTCGGAATTATGAACCTGTGGATAAATCTTCAGAAACACAAATGCTTCCCAAAGTATAAACAATATTTTCTATATATAATTGTTCTAGATCTCAGAAGAGTTCTATCAGAATGAATTATCTCCCAAGAAGGCTCTGGTCTTCTATCTCTTGGAGCATGGAGCAAAGCCGGACATCAAGGATAACCAAGGCAACCTACCAGTCCACTATGCCAACGATGAAATCATTCGCCAGATGATATTCTCAAGGTAGGGAAGCATTATATTAACATGGTCATTTGGAACAAATATTGAAACGGTGTCATAGTCAAGTAGTCTAATCACTCGACTTGGAATGCCAAAGGTCGTCAGTTCTTTATATTCTCTGCATGGCATGCATGTCCGTGGGCAAGGCATGTTTATCTAATTTGCTCCTCTCCACCCAGGTATTAAATGTGTACCTGCCAGGATGTGAACGCCAATGTGATTTGATTAGCATGCGCACACCAGTACAAAAGTGTGACTGGCTAAAAGGCTCCCCATGGAGTGGAGAGTGCACTGTAAAGTGCAGAATCATTATAGAGTACAGGGACTGGTTGATCATACTGTAACAACTTTAGTCAGGTACATTGTAAATGGTAAAGTGCTTTATAAAATACAGTTATTATTATCTCTTCTTTTAAATGAAATGATTAACGTGGCTTTCCTAAATTTGGATTTGGGTTTCCAGCCGAGTTATAAATACGGTTGCTACCAGGTTTTGTAATTAAATTATGCGGATGAAACGGGGCAATTCCACCTGGGACACATTCATTAAAAATTGTTCAAATTGAATTTAACCAAATATGAATACTAGTATACAAAGAGGATTGCATAAATGTTCAGTAACTTCATTGAAAACATTTTAAGGAAATTTAGTCAGATAAATGTTGGCAATTTGAAACATAAATTATGCTGAATTCTGTTTTGAATTTTCTTGTTTATTTTTTTTCAGATAGTTGAGTCTTTTATTTTCCAAAAATATGTGAAAAAAAATGCATTTGAAAGCAAATTGTCCCATACATTCCATAAGTCCTGTTTTTTCCTTACCATGTATTAAACGTTAGTATTCCTGATGATTGTATAAACTAGTTAATGTATATTGTAAAACTTTTTTTAACGGTATCTTCTATTGTACACAGGTGAAAGTATTCTTTCAAGAGGGCAAACAAAAAGTAGTTGTGAAGCACCTTCATTGCTTTCGCAGTGATTATTCTTAAATGCAGAAAGTGGGACTTTGATCTCATGGGTAAACAATCTGTGGATATTTGATCAAATACATTTTGCTTGCCCAAGTATATATCCTGAAGGTTGTAACAATATGAGAACACTTTTTCTTTGTTTTCATTTGCATATATTCTCAGGTCTCCTGCCATGGAAATCATCAGAGCTTATCGAGGTAACACTATCTGATAAATAAATAATAAAACATAGACTATCATAAACAAACAATTATAAATATTTGATTAATAAGGTTTTCAATTTTTATTGACATGGATATATTATGAAGACAAGAACAGAACAAGAAAACTTTGGGGATTGCCAAATTTACTTTCAGAAGTACAAGCTTCATAAGTAAAATAGAAAAATAATTGACATGATGATCAGTTCTATTCGGTGACTAAATGTCCATTCCAGAATGCCCAGGGCGAGTTTATTTTGGAGCAACGTAAGAGAAGGTGGAGTTCCGGTGAAAGATAAAGCATATTAAATTGGTTAGCTTTCCCATGTTTTTGTTTGTTTTCTTTATGTTATTTTGGGAGAACAGACATAGTTGAAATATCTCCTGAAAAGTATTGCTCTGCAAATGCCTATATATTTGAAGTATGACGAGAAATACTTTAAAAGTTTGGACTCAAACTTTTAAGCCACGTTTTTGCATTGTGCAGTTCCCTAAACCCACACCCAGATATAGTGTTTTGCTTTTCATTTTGATCACTCCAAAACCTTCATTGATTCTTATGTAAAACATAGTCGACCTCTCCCCATTGCTTCTGGATAGTTTCTTTCCATGGAAAGGTACTCAACTTTATCTTTAAACCCTCATCATTCTCACTCTCCCTTTGATTATTTTTTATTTGCAGCTGAAAGGTTGGCGCCACCAGTGGTCAACGCCGTTTCTGTTCAGGTTGGATGTGACGGTAAAGAGCTCGAACTGGAACACCATGGCATTGCAATGTCTATCCCACCTGGGGCTGTCGAACAGAATG